ATAAATATATAATACTTAATTATATACTTTCATATATGTATAGGTATATGTTTATTTTATTTTTTTAATAATATATATATATATTTCAAAAATACAATAAAAGAAACATATACATATATAAAATTATATCATTAAATGTTATATATATATATGTATATTTATTTTATTGTAATTTTATAGTAATATATATAAATATTAGAAATATATTCAGTTATATATTATAGATATGTTTTATTATAGAACACAATATTTCATTATAGAATATATATATTTAATTATACATTAAACATAAATGTTAAACAAACAATATGTTTGTGCAAAGTTTCCTATCTATCAGGCAATCTCGATCAAAGGTTTAATCAACAGAATAGGCCTAAGTATGTTTCAAGGAAGTTAGTAATGACTCAGCTGTACAACCTCATGAACATTTTTAATGTATCTCCACATTCTAATCTCTCTGCATCCCTGTATAAAATATAGCTTGTCATATTGCACAACGCAGGAGAATGCAGAGAGGGCTTGCAGTGATGCTCTCCCAGCAGAGACAATAATGTGCACTAAAGTGAGATGTGTTGCTCCGCTGATAAGCCCTATAATTACATGCATAAATAATTAGGTCGGCAACTCTGCAGGGGTAAGCATCTTGGACTTATGTTCTAGGAATTCAGGTTATGGCCCTGTCTTCACAGAGACTGCTCAATAAGCACAAAGAGGACACTTCTTTAATGGACAGGCTTAACTAAAAATGAAGAACAGAAAATGGTGGCATGTTGTAAATTATTCAAGAATACTGCCAACTCTCTCTTTGCCCTAAAGGTGATTTAATTAAGTAAATGATAAATAAAGGAGAAGAATCATTGAAGTGGATGACAACAATGCAGGAGCCCAGCAGATCAATGCACCATAATAATGGAGTGACCGGTGGTGATGATCTCCTAAACAGATAGCCGGTACACAATCAATGACTTGTCTAATTGAAACACACTCAGAACCTTCGAGAGTTTGTTTGCTCATAACGCAAAGGCCAAACCAAGTGGGACCTGTTTGACGGAGTTAACACTGTCTATTAGAAAGAATTAACTAATCAAAATGTCCCTCCTCACTTCATTTCATTCTGTGACTATATTCATGGGTGCGTGGGCTTGTGCTTTTTATTATAACTTATTAAGTATCAGATCAAAAAAGAAGTGTAAAAAAATCTGATTTAATTGAATAATAAATAAAAAAGGAAGTTAATTATCCCATGAATGGACCAAGAGGAAACAGGAAACAGGAGTTAAAGGAAGTGAGGCATCACCTGTTTGACACGGTCAGGGTTGACGGTGGTCTGTGGCTGAAGTATGCTAACTGGCTCTGTTTTCTGAGCGCTCTGCGGCATCTCCCGCACCTTCTCCGCGATGAAGTCATGGACACTGTTCAGCGCCTCTACAGTGCCCTGGACCAAGCAGACGCGCTCGGTTGTTCCTAAAGGAGGCACACAAAGAGAATTACAGTTTAAGCTCAGTGTGATTTACAGGTGTTGTCTAAAGTGTGCTGTGAAGTGATTAATAAAATGGCATTTTTCTCAATGCAGTGATGAGGTGAGGGCCAAAGGAGCATGGTTTCTGTCTAATAAACTAAAAACAGGTTTCCAAAACCTGCTGCATTGTTCCAACACGCTTCAGTATTTTCCATGTCAACTTAATTCTTACCTTTAAAAAGATAATTTTTTAAATCCCATGACCAGCTGAAAAATACTTATTCTCGAACGCTTTCTCTTTTAGATTAAATGAATAATGTTGGTGTAAGTTCAAGACAACTGCCATATCATCAAATAAAATATAGTAAAATAAAGTCACCATAAAATAATTACATGAAATATACACATATTTAGTGAACAAAACAATATATACAAATATTTTAAAGAATTATTGTCAGATGACCAATAAATTATACACTACTGTTCACAAAGTTTGGGTAATTTGTTAAGATGTTTTATTGTTCAATAAATTGATTAAAAATGACAGTAAAGACATTTATAATGTTACAAAAAATCTATTTCAAATAAATGCTGTTCATCTGAACTTTTCTATTCATTAAAGAATCCTGAAAGAAAAAGTATCACCGTTTCCACACAAAAATATTAAGCAGCACAACTGTTATCAACATTGATAATAATAAATGTTTCTTGAGCCAAAAATCAGCATATTAGAATGATTTCTGAAGGATCATGTGATTAGAGTAATGGCTGCTGAAAATTCAGCTTTGCCATCACAGGAATAAATTACATTTTAAAATATATTCAAAAAGAAAAAATGTTAAATTGTAATAATATTTCACAGTATTACTGTTTTTACTTTACATTTGATCAAAGAAATGCAGCCTTGGTGAGCAAAAAAATCATACAGACCCCAAAGTTTTGAAAGGTTGTGTGTGTGTGTAATATAAATATATATATATATATATATTAATTATAAAAGCTCCCTATAGTTATCTATCTATGCATGTATTTCCCATGAACCTCTCATAAACATTTCTGCAGTAACACAAAGTTGTTTTACTACTGCTGGTGTAAGACTGAGGTTGTACGGCATGTTCTTGCGATTGATGGTGTTTGGAGCTAAAACGTTGATGGAATGCTTTTTTCCTTACATAGAAGCAGCATAAAATATCATCAGCTAACAACACCAGGAATCACTGATAATGATCAAAGAAATGCAGCCTTGGTGAGCAAAAAAATCATACAGACCCCAAAGTTTTGAAAGGTTGTGTGTGTGTGTAATATAAATATATATATATATATATATTAATTATAAAAGCTCCCTATAGTTATCTATCTATGCATGTATTTCCCATGAACCTCTCATAAACATTTCTGCAGTAACACAAAGTTGTTTTACTACTGCTGGTGTAAGACTGAGGTTGTACGGCATGTTCTTGCGATTGATGGTGTTTGGAGCTAAAACGTTGATGGAATGCTTTTTTCCTTACATAGAAGCAGCATAAAATATCATCAGCTAACAACACCAGGAATCACTGATAACAGGAGACTTACTTTCTGTTTTTACTCAACTAAATCATATAATACTATAGCGCATTGTTTGTATGACAGGCACATACAGTGATAAGTATCAGTCATGTTATCAGAGAGTGAATCCGTCAGTCACTGGGCTATCAATCATATTACACTAAAGACTACAGACATTGTGTTAGGAGACAAACAACCAGCATTACAGCATCTGCCCATATAAATACCATGGATCTATGTACATGCAGACTGAAGTTATGGGAGCAGCTGCAATAACAGTCGCCTGGCAATGCTACTATTTTTGGCAGCCTATTCACAGAAAGCCTTCCATTAGACGCTCCAAAGTCTCCACTTTCAATTAATTCTGATACAATATCAGCATTTTAACTCCAATTCCACAGTCTCTTCTACAGAACATGAGGTTAAATGCGTGCACACACACATACATTCACCATAGTTTTACTGTTTCGGTGCAGACTCTAAAGGAATTAACCGACTGCGGTTCTCTGATTGGTTACTAATCCTTCTACACTATAACATTTTGCCTGAAAGCGTGCTTCTGGGACATTTATCCTACAAAACCCACCCTAAATCACACTGCACCATAAGAGAGGCAGTCAAGCGTGGCCATTCAGATTCAGAAATAAAAACAAAATCCACAAAAGCTTTAAGTAAAAGGGAAGAGGGAAAAAACTCAACTAGACTGATCCGAAGCCAGGATCTCTTGGCTCCCAAGAGGCTGGGAAGCGAATAGGCCCTTATCAACACGGTGCAGTAGAGTTTTCCGGTTTCCTTTTAACCTTCTATTGTTTACTAGCATGAAAATAATTGGGTTCGGTCCCAGACTAGCTATATGAAGCCGTGTTAATACTCTCAAATTGAGGAATCTCAGGATCATGGATGGGATCTTACAAAAAAGAAAAGGAAAAAAAGCTTTGCTGAGCTCCCGACAGCTGGCGGCCCAAGAGTAATCTGTGACAGACCAATCGGGGCGGTAGATTATTAGAGCAGAGATCACCATTGTTTTGGCAGGGAGATGAAGGGGGTAGGGTGTGGACAACACCAGCCAAACAACTGCCAGAGATGGAGGACCAGTTTTGAAACATTACTGACTTTTATGGTATAAACATACACACAATGACCATTAAATGAACTCCGGTAACATGTTAAATACCAAATAGCTGCATCGGCACAGTTATGTTCGCATACAAGCAGACAGTTTGTGTTGTGTTGACAGTCTGAATGAAGAGGTCCTGGAGAGGTTGTGATGTGTCTGTTGTGAGATACTCAGCGGGATATGGGAAGAGGTGGGAGGAGTTAAGAAAGAGGTCACTGAGGATCTTCTTCCCTCCTGCAAACAGAAGGGTCACTTTCTGACACAAGTTTAGGTTTCTGTCCATGGAGCTCATTGAAAGTGATGGGCAGTTTGCTTTACCACCAATCTAAGCACATAAACACCCCTCTCAGCAGCTCACTGCCACATCAACGTCCACACCAAGAAATATTACACATACTAGGGCTGGGCAATATTTTACATATACACAATATTTTCTATATTATATGGTTGACAATATAAAAGTAACCAAACTTTACATAGTAAATGAGAGAGAATGGATCAAACAAAAATGTAAAAAAAAAAAATAATTAAATTGATCCAAAGTGACAGTAAACACTTTAACATTGATACAAAATTATAATAATAAATACATTTAAATTTCCACAAAATTAATAATGAATATCATGAAAAGGATAAAAAAAAAACATTCAGAAATAACATTTTTCCACACAGCCCTAGTACACAGTGACAGTTAAAAATTTAGATTCTGATACAGGCCCTGTGAGTCACTGTGCTGCTTCTGAAATTAAGGGTTTGGTGTCCGTCCATATATACACAGAGGCTAGAGCTAATAGACCTATTAATCACAGTCTGATTTCAAAATAAGTTTGGATTTGTGCTAGTAGCATTTAAGGAAACACATACAGCTTCCAGTACAGCCAAAGAGTTAAAACTAAGAAAAGGTATTGGGCAGTGTTTTATATAGTTGCCTAGGGAATGCCTACTTGGCTCTGTTCACTCTTGTGCTAAATTGTTTTTATACAGTTGTTAAGTAGATGAGTCATTCATTCCTTGTTCTTGTTTGTAGATGGAGCACCTCTTTGGTGATTTAGCTACTGAAAACATTGACAAACATGACCGCATGAGCATGTACAAAACATTAACATGTAATATATGGAACGAAATGTTAGATCATTAAAAAAGAGCCAGTTAAACCTGGTAAATAGTGCAGCAAAGTGAGGTAATGCCTAGATCCTGCTAATTATTTAGAGAGAGGACAGAAACATGGTGGCTCATAGCATGGATAGATATTTTGGTCATTTTGTTTACTCGAGTACTAGAGAGATAAATCAAATCGTCCTGCAGAAACGTGTCTCAAGACCACAGTGATCAGTTCCAGCTCTGTCTAGCTGTTTGAAAAGGAGAATATGTCCTGTGTGAACGCCCTCTACTCTCTCCTCAGAGCGCTGCTGCTGCCACAGACTCAGAGTCAGTGTTGGAGCGCAAATTGCTGTCAGAGCGGTAAGTACTGACGCCATAACCAAACCTGAAATAAAAAAATATGGTTATTTTTTACATTTGCGTATAGTTTCATCATTTCCGAGTACTCTGGCCCATCTCTTCTTGCTACAAACAAATTCAGTTAATATCTGGTTCAAAATCAGGTATGGTAGGGCAGGAATAGTGCACTGTCATGTAGATCACAAACGCTGATCACAAGTCCCACAACACTAAAGCAGAAAGATAGATTGACCCATTGACTGACAGCACTCTGAACCCATAGAAATGACCACAGCAAGCTCAATAACCAATTAAACTGCTGCGTACCACATGACAAATGACACCAGCTGCTAGGACAAATGGAGAATCTTTCAGAAGACACACTGTACAGGACTGTACAGGAAACGTCTCTACACCGTATCACAATACGAGAAAATTTTGACAAGCTTCCTGATTGCCTCCCTCCAAAGAGTCCAACAGCGGCCCTGGAGATTTCGTGAACATACGACCCTGCCGGTGGATGAGGCTACAGATGTTTCCTGGATTTGGTGTTAGGAGGAGTTAAAAAAGGGTGTGGGGGTTAAAAAAGTCATCTCCCTTCCTCAGTGACTCGCATTTTCCTGTCTGCTCATCAAAGGGTGGCTGATTGCAGCCTCCACATACCCGAGTCCTACAGGAGCACATGGGTCATTGTTTCAACATGGAGCACCCACTACGAGATGAGTGTTGACTGCGGGGACGGGCAAATGAAAACAGGGGACACGTGGGACCTGTTGGTGTCAGTGTGCACCGTTATGTTCATAACTACATGAATGTTTGGGAGGGGGCCAGTCCAGGCATATGACATAAGACACATCACCACAGCAACTGGCAGACCCTGAAAATATTGTGGGGCAGCTG